TTAATCAAAAATTGAAATCATGTATGTATGTATATATATATATATATATATATATATATATATATATATATATATATATATATATATATATCACAACATATATTTGATATGATTCTAATATATTTTCTTCCTATACTATCATTTTCAATAACTATATATATGTGTAGATATATAAATAAACATATAGAAAGAAAAAAATATAGTACAGAAAATACATCAAAACTAAAGTATAGAAAGAAAACGAAAATCCCCTTGGCACCCGTGACGTCACAACCTCCGCCCCTCCCGCGGTTCCCCAACTGACCTCTGGGCGTGCGGGTGTCTGGCAGAGTGAGCCACAGGGGTATGATCAGAGGAGCCACGATGATGTAGGTCACTCGCTTCCGGAAACCGCTGGGCCAGCTCAGGTCAATCGGCTTGTTTTCGTCGTCGTCGTCGGTGTCAGCCTGCGGGAACAGCTTCGAGTGTCAGCCTCGTGTTTTGATTTTCCCGCGCAAATTCAAAAATACGTTCCCCGCCTCCCCGGAAAAATATTTAAATATAAACAAAAAGAGAAAAAGAAAAGAAAATAGTGGGATTCCCTGACGGTGGCAATAATAAATCTTTTCAGATTGGACACGCCAGTGGGGGGGGAGAAATAAAAAACCTAAACATCCTATATACTTTCTAAAAAAAGGTAATAAATAAATTAAAAAAAAACGCCTATAGTGTTTCCTCTTTCTTTCCTTCTTTATAATCTTATCAACTGTTTTTTAACTGATACTGTACAATGACGCCAGAAAATAATACATTAGCACTATAGAAATCACTATACTCTTACAAAGCTAGCGAGAAAATGCTACAAAGAATTATTCTAAATTGCTCTGACTGGTAGTTAAGTAAGCAACAACGACAGGAATTGAAGAACGTACTTTACAATCTGATTTTAAATCTACATAAATGTGTGTGACTTCAATTCTAAGATCGGTAAAAATAGGGAGAGTAAAGGGAGGGGGGACTAAAGAAAAGGGCAAAGGAAAAAGGAATTAATGGAAGAAGGAGAAATTACAAGAGAAGAACAGATAGAAAGTGTGAAGAAGACTGCAGATAGATATACAGAAAGGCTGACATACAGACATACATACAGAGACATACACATTCACAAGTACAACAAGCACGCAAGCGCGCTGGCACACACGATATTGCCCTTAAACACATATCCACACACGTCTATGCACACGCACGGACAAACAAACACACACACAAGCACAATATATAAATATACATACATACATACACACACACACACAAACATATACTATATGTGTACACACACACACACACACACACACACACACACACACACACACACACACACACACACACACACACACATATACATATATATACACACACACATACATACATACATATATATATATATATATATATATATATATATATATATATATATACACATACACATACACATACACACATACACACACACACACACACACACACACACACACACACACACACACACACACACACACACACACACACACACACACACATACACACACATACACACACATACACACACACACACAAACACACACACACATACATATATATATACATGTATATATATATAAATATATACATACATACATATATATATATATATATATATATATATATATATATATATATATATATATATATATATATATATATACATGTATATACATGAATATATATGAATATATGTTTACACACATACACACACACTCACAAACACACAGATCTGCAAACAGATAGATAGGTAGGTAGATAGGTAGGTAGATAGATAGATAGATAGATAGATAGAGAGGGAGAGGGGGAGAGAGGGGAGGAGAGGGGAGGAGAGGGGAGGAGAGGGGAGGAGAGAGAGAGAGAGAGAGAGAGAGAGAGAGAGAGAGAGAGAGAGAGAGAGAGAGAGAGAGAGAGAGAGAGAGAGAGAGAGAGAGGGAGAGGGAGAGGGAGAGGGAGAGGGAGAGGGAGAGGGAGAGGGAGAGGGGAGAAGGAGAGTGAGAGGGTAAGGGGGATGGAGAGGGAGAGGGGGGTAGGGAGAAGGAGGGGAGAGGAGAAGGAGGGGGGAACGAAAGACAGACAGATAGATCAGAGAGAGAAGAAGAGAGGGATAGAGAAGGAGAGGGGGGGGGGGGGTAGGAAGAAGAAGAAGGAGAAGGGAAAGTGGAAAGGGAATGGAGAGAGAGAAAGAGAAAGAGAAAGAGAGAGAGAGAGAGTGAGAGAGAGTTAGAAACAGACATTCAGAGATAGAGAGACAGACACTTAATACTATTGCACCTTAGCAATCTAGTCAACTGTGCACATCTAAGTGAAAGAATGGGGGGTGAAAAAAGCAGAAGGGGGTGGAGACAAGTTGAGGGGGGGGGGGGAGACTGACAGTGTCCCATGCTGTCCCTTGTCTCCGGTGGAGCAGTAAGGCGCTGCCTCGAAAATAAAAGATATATATAGGTTTACAGAAGGATGGAAGGGGACACTGTATATACATATGCATACATACATGTATACGTACATACATATTATATGTATATACGTATGATCATATATATAATATATACATATACAATATAATATAACATATATATACACACACACTTATATATATATAAATACATATATATATATATATATATATATATATATATATATATATATATATATATATATATATATAATATATATATATATATATATATATATATATATATATATATATATATATATATATATATATATATATTTATATATATATACATATAAATATACATATAAATATACATATAAATATACATATACATATATATATATATATATATATATATATATATATATATATATATATATATATATATATATATATATATATATATATATATATATATATATATAAGTATGTATAGATGCGTGAGGAGGGGAGAGAGGGAGAGAGAGAGAGGGAGAGGGAGAGGGAGAGGGAGAGGGAGGGAGGGAGGGAGGGAGAGAGAGAGAGAGAGAGAGAGAGAGAGAGAGAGAGAGAGAGAGAGAGAGAGAGAGAGAGAGAGAGAGAGAGAGAGAGAGAGAGAGAGAGAGAGAGGGGGGGGGGAGAGAGAGGAAGAAGAGAAGTGAAGGAGAGGGAGAGGAAGGAAAGAAGTGAAGGAGGAGGTGGATGAAGAGGGAGGGAGGGAGGTTGGTAGGAAGAGAGGGAGAGAGGGAGGGAGAGAGAGAGAGAGAGGGGTGGGGAGAGGGAAAGAGGGAGAGAGAGGGAGAGAGGGAGAGAGGGAGAGAGGGAGGGAGGGAGAGATGGAGAGAGAGAGAGAGAGAGAGAGAGAGAGAGAGAGAGAGAGAGAGAGAGAGAGAGAGAGAGAGAGAGAGAGAGAGAGAGAGAGAGAGAGAGACAGACAGAAAGACAGACAGAGACAAAGAGACAGACAGAGAGACAAACAGACAGACATAGAGAGAAATTTAAGAGTTTACCAAAGTGCGGGGAAGTGTGCAAACTGTGGAAGATGTGAAAACGCTATCATGCCACAGTTGTGCGCCACATTAAATTCACTAAAGCTGTAGAGCCGCAAGAACTAATTCAATTGATCTGTACACGGTGGCCTTATTATTACAAAAAATAAAAATAAAATAAATAAATAAATGAAAGTCAGTATTTAAAAATAGCCGATGAAAAAACGCATGCTTCGAAAAGGGGAAAAATATCGATTCAAAAAACAAAATATACATATATATATAAAAATCATATATACATATATATAAAAATATATACAATAGTCAAGTACAAAAGAGAAAATTTACACCAAGAGGCTTGTTCTCTCAGCCCCGGTACGGAGTTAGAGACAGTGAAATAAGTGATAAAACCGGTGATTAATAATAAAAATAAAACATAAAGAATAGTAAAAAATAGTATAAAAAAATAAAAAATAAAATGAAAACAAAAACGATTCGACGGCGTGAGATATTTACTGTGTGGCTGTGCAGGCCGCGGGTAGAATAACGACCGGCCATTTTGGAAAATCTTACGACAGTGAAAGAGTGCTTAGCGGTGGCCAATTCGTGAGAGAAAGAAACAAAACAACAACAACATAATCCTGCTGTCCTAAGATAAATGCGTTATTTCGATCAAGATTGAAAATATGAGAGAAAAAAAAAACGAAAATATAAAAATACAGGATTCTCCTCTCCGTTTTCGTGATGTTCATGACCAAAGTGCAGAAATAAATGAACAATAATAAAAAAAATCAGGAATATTATATAAACGTGGAAGTCACAATCATATTGAGGAACTTACCATGGCTCCTTACCTCATTACAAGAATTCTATGCTAAAGTGATTTACCAATAACCAATATCTGTACACATGATTTACGTATAATAATACAGAGAGAGAGAGAGAGAGAGAGAGAGAGAGAGAGAGAGAGAGAGAGAGAGAGAGAGAGAGAGAGAGAGAGAGAGAGAGAGAGAGAGAGAGAGAGAGAGAGAGAGAGAGAGAGAGAGAGAGAGAGAGAGAGAGAGAGAGAGAGAGAGAGAGAGAGAGAGAGAGAGAGAGAGAGAGAGAGAGAGAGAGAGAGAGAGAGAGAGAGAGAGAGAGAGAGAGAGAGAGAGAGAGAGAGAGAGAGAGAGAGAGAGAGAGAGAGAGAGAGAGAGAGAGAGAGAGAGAGAGAGAGAGAGAGAGAGAGAGAGAGAGAGAGAGAGAGAGAGAGAGAGAGAGAGAGAGAGAGAGAGAGAGAGAGAGAGAGAGAGAGAGAGAGAGAGAGAGAGAGAGAGAGAGAGAGAGAGAGAGAGAGAGAGAGAGAGAGAGAGAGAGAGAGAGAGAGAGAGAGAGAGAGAGAGAGAGAGAGAGAGAGAGAGAGAGAGAGAGAGAGAGAGAGAGAGAGAGAGAGAGAGAGAGAGAGAGAGAGAGAGAGAGAGAGAGAGAGAGAGAGAGAGAGAGAGAGAGAGAGAGAGAGAGAGAGAGAGAGAGAGAGAGAGAGAGAGAGAGAGAGAGAGAGAGAGAGAGAGAGAGAGAGAGAGAGAGAGAGAGAGAGAGAGAGAGAGAGAGAGAGAGAGAGAGAGAGAGAGAGAGAGAGAGAGAGAGAGAGAGAGAGAGAGAGAGAGAGAGAGAGAGAGAGAGAGAGAGAGAGAGAGAGAGAGAGAGAGAGAGAGAGAGAGAGAGAGAGAGAGAGAGAGAGAGAGAGAGAGAGAGAGAGAGAGAGAGAGAGAGAGAGAGAGAGAGAGAGAGAGAGAGAGAGAGAGAGAGAGAGAGAGAGAGAGAGAGAGAGAGAGAGAGAGAGAGAGAGAGAGAGAGAGAGAGAGAGAGAGAGAGAGAGAGAGAGAGAGAGAGAGAGAGAGAGAGAGAGAGAGAGAGAGAGAGAGAGAGAGAGAGAGAGAGAGAGAGAGAGAGAGAGAGAGAGAGAGAGAGAGAGAGAGAGAGA